CCTGTGATTCAGATGGCAACGTTTTTGTGAACATTCTTGCAGAGATATATAGATATATATACATTTAGTGTACATGCATGGAGAAGTACCTCTGTGTGTGAAATTTCACATAAATGGCATATTCTCTACTTTTTTTTTTTTTTTAGAGAGAGGAAGGGAGGGAGAAAAAGAGGGAGAGAAACTTCAGCGAGAGAGAAATGTCGATCGCTTGCCTCTCGCCCGCACCCAGACCGGGGACCTCGGCCTGTGCCCTGGCCGGGGATGGAGCTGCTGAGCCACACCGGCCAGGACATGTTCTCTGTTTTACTCTGTTGTCGGAACTTAGTGGAGTGTCATGTGCGTCTTTGTGTCTCTGTGAGCGTGGGTGTTCATCGTCCTAGATCACGGCCACACGGAGCTCGGTCTGTGCATCAGGGGTTTTCATCAGAGGATAAGCGAGAGCCACACCTGAGGCTCCGGAACATGCCCCGGGCCGCACTGCCCCCCTCCCCTGCCACCCCAGGAAAGCAGCGCACGGGAGGGAGAGGGCGGGCAGGGCCAGGATGCTGTGCAGAGTGTCCAGGGCGCCCGAAGGACGAGGTCCTCTGGCCGTGACCGCAGGTGAGCGCCTGGCACCGCGCTGTCCAAGGTCAGAGCCGGTGCGGGGCCGTGGGGCGGCTTTCAGTCATTTATTCGCTCATCGTCCGGCAGATCCCGTGACTGTCCTAGGGACAGGGAGGACCCAAGGGAACACGATGGGATCATCCTCCACCCTCACGGAACTCCTGTTCTCCCGGGGAGGAAGACGGTAAACAACACTGAACGAACAGCTCAGAGGGTGACGGGCTCCTCACTGGGAGAACCAGGTGCCTGGGGGGTGGGGCGGGGGGGGTGTCATTGTCCAGGTGGGCAGGAGGCAGCTCTTGGAGATGTGGAACTTGAGCAATGGAAGAAAAACGTGATGTGCCCCTATGTTTGCCCGTTTGCTCACCTGTGCTAACAACACACGCGGGTGACCGCCCATCCGACCGGTGACCAGTGGCTGCCGCCCCCCCCCCACTCCGTGCGGCTGAAGCCAAGCAGGACTGCTGGGCGGAAAGGTGTCGCCCCCCCCCCCCGCCCCCCGGCTTCATCGACTTTTCTTCTCTTTTCTAATTGCAGTCTCAAACTGTGTTTCGATTAGCAGACAAACCCTGTTTTCTCTGGGGAAACAAAACCCAGAAAAGGTGCAGGGCTTAGGACGACACGACCCAAACCGCTGTCCAGCCGTCCTCCCCGCGCCAGGCGGCTGGGGTTCCGAGTGTGGAACAGAACTGAGAACTCCGCGCCCGGAGCTGCTGCCCCGAGGGCTGATGTCACACAGCCCAGGTCTGACGGGGTGAGGGACGCAGAGGGCGCCTGTTTGTTCCGCGGGCTCTGGCTTGGGACCGCTCCTGAGCGACAGCTGGGCCCAGTGGGGACAGTCACATCCCCCCAGGGATCTGGGGGGCCAGGTGTTGATTGCTGCAGGGCCCTGTTCTCTAGTTAACGTCTTTCTCTCTCTCTCTTTTTTTTTTCATGTCTTGGGCCGTCGGCCTCATGCAGGTGCGGATGACGGGACCCCGGGAAGCGTGCCTGCCACCTGCCGGTGTCCGGGAGGGCTCCTCTCCCCGCCGCGGCCCAGCCTCTGCAGGGCCCGGCTCCTCCAGGTCCCGAGTGTGCGGCTGAGCAGAGTGTGCGCGCCAGGTAAGTCGGTGGGATTTTGGAGGGAAACGGCAGAGGAGGGTGTGTGACCTACAGGATGCGGGACGAGGCCCTTGGGGAAACCAGGTCCCGGTCTGTGCAGCACACGCCTGTCTCTGAGCCTGGGGGAGGGATTGGCTGGAAGCTTCCAGACTCTCCTTAAGTGCTGAGCTGGCATCACCCAGTTGTCAGTGGGAGAATTGAAAGCACTTCTCCTGTAATACACATTGTCCACCAAATGGGTTTGCTGGTCTCCACAATGCACTGCGAACGTAACATCTGGAAAGAGACCGTCCTAAGTTATTCCTACAGAAGGTCTTTAAGCCGAAGGGGCCGCTGGGAGTCAAGTCTGACGTGGAAAGGGAGCACGCTCTGGCGTTTGGGGGGAACCGCCTGCTGGTTCCTTATAGCTGCACGTTACTGCCTGCGTCAGGGGAGAGGTTTTCACGCTCTCTGCCCCGCTGCCCGTCTTCTCTGTGACCTCCCATGTCAGTCGCTTGCCATCCACGGATCACCCCCCACCCCACGCTGGGCCGGCTGGGCTCCGAGGCCTCCCCGGGACACACCGCTGTGGGTCACAGGCAGGAGACTCTGGTTTGGGGGTCGTTCTCCCTCCCTGGAGGAAGCACACTCAGGTTGCCCCACGGCCGTGGGGGGAGAGGAGGGGAGCCCCGGTCACTGCCTGCCTGCCCCCCCCCCCCCCCCGCCCAGGTGCGTGCTTGACCTCGGCGCCATGATTGAGAGGGTGGACGTCGAAACAATGTTGCTCATCTGTGGCGGCTTGCTGATCGCAGCCTTCTTCCTCCTGTGCTGTTTCCTCTGCGTTTACTGCAAGCTGGCCAGCGTCTTGAGGTGCGTGAGTGGGTGAGAGTGAATGAGACCCCTCCCGTGGGACCCCCGGGGCTCTCTGCTGGAGCAGGGCCCCTCCTTGCCCTGGGGCCGCACCCTGGCTGAGGTCGGGAGCAGCAGGCAGGTCTGGAAAGGCAGAGGCCGGTGAGCACAGGACCTTGGCTTCTTCCCCTCCTGGCTTGGGTTTGTGAGCTCCCAGGTGAGAGTTGTCAGCCCGGCCGGCAGGTGGCTCTGTGTGTCAGTGCTCCCTGCTGTCACCTGACCCTGTGGAGTGCACCCTCAGCTGTGGGACTCAGCTTAGGGGCGGCCCTCCCTGCGCCCCGGGTCCTGCAGACTGCAGACTGCGGGCGGGCCCTGTCCCTGAGTGTCTGCCTCCCGTTCACGCAGAGGGCAGGCTGAGCCGGCCTCCCCGGGCCTGAGCCGGGGGCTCTCACCCTGTTCCCTCACTCACTGCCCACGGCCTTGGGGACAGAGAAGTGGGCCTGCGAGACTGTGTGAAGATCCCGGGGGGCGCCTGACAGTGGGTGTAGGTCAGGGTGACACCTTGGAGCTCTTGTCAAAGTGTGTCTCACTGTATGTGGGGCACAGGCGCAGCCTTCCCAAAGGTGAAACGAATGGGGTGAATCTGGGGTGCTGGGGAGTCCCATATCCGGGGCTCATGGCCTGCGGCCCCTCCCACCACACTAAACTGGCACCAGGCGCTGACCAGGTCAGACCAGCCGCCCCGGGGGCCAGGCCTGCAGCCTGCGTCCCTGGAGCCACTGTACCCTCCCTCGACGTTCATGCAAACGTCTGGGAAGGACCGGGTGAGAACGGGGGGCGGGGCCGAGGTACAGTCTCGGGCTGCGGGCACACGGCGTGGTTTGCCCAGCCGAGAACAGCCGTTGTGAGAGGTGGGCTTTAAAAAAGACACCTAATCTGTGCTTTTTACAAAACCCCTGCAGGAAGCTGTGATGACCGGCGGTGCTGACCCCGGAGGCCAGCGATTGGGGGCGGGAGGCGGCCATGCTGAGGCGCTGCCCTCTCTGCACTGGCCACTGTCAGTGCCCCCCAACCCGGCTGTGCAGAGACTGCCCCCCAGAGAGGTGGGCCCCCCCGCGCCCCGGGGCCGCGGGCCACGCCCTGAAGTACAGGCATCCATGCCGAGCTCAGCTGCCTCCTGACTCCGTTCTTCGCAGGTGGTCGGGGCCCCCAAAGGCAGGGGCTGCGCTGTCCCTGGCCCCGGGCCCCAGTGCAGGGCCCACACTCAGCGGGTGTCGGGGGTTGGGGGTGGGCAGGGAGGGCGACCGCGCTGACCTCTGTCAGTGCACCTCGGACCTCGAGACACAGCAGCAAGCCCGAGCCGTGTCGGTGAGAGCGTGCAGTGCACTGCTTACTGGTCACCAGCGCTGTGCTCCTGGCCCGCTCCGGGGCAGTGGGGGCACCGCCCCGAGCTGCCGTGGAGACACCCAGGAGGGCCGCGCTCAGGCCTCTGTTGAGGGAGCTCAGAGGGCAGGAGGGAGTCCTGGGCACCTGGGACCCGGCCCTGGGCGTCTTGTTTCCAACCCTCCTCCTGGGGCCACGCTGCTTCCCTGCCTGGGCTTCCAGAAGCTTCTGGGCTGCTACCTTCCTTCTCGTTCCCAGCAGAGAAGTCCAGGCACAGCCCATCATGGGAGGGCCGGTTCTCGTCCCCATCCCGATCCACACGTCCGGGTCCTCATCGGTGGCAGCTCTGCAGGGGGCGGGGGCGGGGGCAGGGCCACGCAGAGCAGGGGGAGAAGAGGGACCTGGGTTCCCGGGCCTTGCTTGCTCCGTGTGGGGAATCCTGTGTGACACTCACTCGCGGGCTTTTCACCGAGTTCGGGGCGTGCACTGGGTGCCCCCCCTGTGACTGACGTCGGGACGGAGAGGGCCGTTCCCCATCCTCTGCCCAGATAGCCCCCACCCGCAAAGAGCGCGTCTCTGGGACTGGAGGGCGGGGCCCAGTTCCCCGAGCACCTGGCCCCGGGCAGCCGGCCGGGCTCCATCCCTGAGTCCAGTCGGCCTCCAGGCCCCCGGGCTCAGAGGTGCTCCGGCCGGAGGCCTGTGGTTCCAGGAGCCCCACTAAGTGGAGGGCGGTCAGACCCCTGCACAGACACTGTTATAGAAGCTCCTGCAGCTCTGGGTCAGCGGGTCTGTGCCCGGCCCCGCCCCACTCGGTCCCGAGGGTGGCTCTGGGTTCCGCCGCCCAGTTTCTTTGTGTCACAGACACACCTGGTGGGGTGGCTTGGGGACATGTCATAGGGAAGGCCCGTCACCAACCGTGAATGCAGAGAGGGGTGAAAAGACCGATTCTCCCGTAAGGACTGTGTGTACCTCCTGAGCAGGGTCGTGCCTGCTAACAAGACTAAAGGAACAGTTGCCAGGGCAACCGTGCTACTTCAGCTTTTGTAGTTTTTATCAGTAGTTTTTGAAATGAAGACTTCTAGTGCTGTTAAGGATATTAAGGTCTTTTTGTTAGTTACATTTGAAACACTTCCTGATTACACAAATTGCCAATCTACAAATAATAAATAAAATCACACCGTTCAAAACTGTGTTGATTTTTTAAAAAGATTCAGTAATAAGTATATGAGGAACTTCTAGTATCCAAAGATTTTTCTTGTTGATGTTTACAAGGAAATTGATGTTTGCCAATTCAACTCAGTTATTATTTAGGATTCGATTTGATTGCAACAGGAATCTCAAAAGAACAGTGGCTCACACAGAAGTAGTTCACGTTTCTCTTACACTCAGGGAGTTCAATAGCATCCCAGGGGCATCTGGTCCGGCTAAGCTTCCTTGCCCAAGGTCATCTCAGGGCCCAATAGGGTTGTTGGAGCTCCAGCTCTTAAGGCTGCATTCCAGGAAACAGGAAGGAGGATGAGGCCTCTCCTGCCCTGACCGACTGGGCTGCATTTACATTTCTGAAGGAATCCTCTGCATCTGACGGGGCTGTCCACAGCATGCAAAGCAGGAACTTCAGGCCCGTTTCACAGGACAAATGAAACCACTCAGGCACGGCACAGCTCACCCTCCCCACCAGGGCTGCTGGTGTTCAGAACGTGGGCACGTCAGTTTCCTCCCCAGACACGGCTCTGCCCTGGAAACCGTCCACACGGTCGCCGTGTGGCTCACTGGACGGCCCCCTGCTGCCGAGGACGCCCTCTCGCAGGGCCTGGGGGCTGTGGGCACTGGGCGAGGGTCCGAGTAGCCTCCACGGAGGGAAGTGACACGTACGTGTGCCGCCCCCGGTCCCGTCCTGACCGCCGGTGTGCAGGTGGCTTCACGCGGGCGCGTGGCGGTGTCGGAGGGCTGTGCCTCACACGGTCCGCAGGCGGCAGCCGCTGTCCTCGGCCTGCGGGGAGCCCCGGCCCAGGGCTCCCGCGGGGGGCCCGCTCAGCAGTGGGGAGGCCGGAGCGCCCTCCGGAGGCCCTCGGCCAGGGCTCGCGGCGTGGGGCTCTCCGCCGTGCAGCTCACGGGCAGGCCCTGGGCGGCCAGGGCGCGGGCAGTGGTGGGGCCGATGGCTGCGAACTGCGGAGGGGGAGGAGGGGCCTCAGTGCGCCTGCAGGCGGGGGGGTGGGGGTGGCGGCTGCGGGGCCCTGCATGCAGGGCCTGTGGGACACCCACTTATCACGACACCTCTCCGCCCGAGGGCCTGTGTGTGGCAACACTTCCTGGGCGAAGGCGGCTTTAGGGCGGCAGAATGCCTTCGCCTCCACGCTGCCATCGCCACCTCACCGCCCCCCCAAGTAGGGTGGTGCCCCGCCTGCAGCTCGGGGGGCTCGAGCCACCGCTGCCCTGGCTGCGTCCCAGGAGCCCTCACTGCAGATAGTTCTGCCTCGTGTCTGGGGCCCCGGGGAGGCAGGCAGGTGCCATACAGCACAGAGTGGGGTGGGGATGGCGGCCGCACCTCCGGGAAGCAGAGCCGTCAAGACCAGCGCCCCAGGGCGAGGGTCAGGACCGCCTCCCTGAGGCCAGCATTCCACTGTGACCCTGGTTTGGGTCCTGTCACCCCGGCGTGCCCAGAGGCCCACGTTCTGACGTGGGGAGGGCCGGCAGTGCAGACGGGTGTCCTACGGCTCCAGGTGACAAAGCCACTGCCGCAGCAGGCACCGTGAGGGCCGTGATGGCACGGAGACCCCGACAAACTCGGTCCCTGAGGAGTGCGAGTGTGAGTCCTCTGAGTCAACAGACGTGGAAGGGGGGCGTGCTTTTTAACAGCAGATTGTCTCGGGGTGTTTAGGTGGAGAAATGAGTGAGGAAGCGGCTCGGAGCGGCCAAGGGCAGCATCAGGGAGCGCCAGCCAGGAGGGGGCCACTGCGCCTCCGGCCGGGCCCGCAGGGTCTCCCTGCCGTGGGGCGCCCGCCCGGTCAGTGGGGCTTGAACTTGACTGGAAGCTCTAGGATAGTTAGCAAACATTTTTAATCTGAAAAAGACCCAAAGCACTGAGGACCTCACCTTAATCTGATCGATGGAGCTACCAGACAAGTCCTGGATGTGCTTCAGGCTGTAGGCTAGGCCCGAGGGGCTGAAGAAGGTGATGCCGGCCGGCACGCCCTGCGGGGGGTGGGGGGGGAGGAACAAGCACAGCCCTCGTGAGCGGCCGGGAGAGAGAGAGGTCCCCAGCCTGTCCCCATGGACCCCAGACCCTAGGCAGCCAGGCGGGGTTCCTGCAGGCAGGTTCCTGGTCAGTGCTGGCCCGCCTCATCCACGGAGACCAAGTTCAAGAGGGGGTCTGTTTGAGAGAGGGCGCAGTCAGGAGGAGGGGCACTGCTCCTGGTCACTCTGGCCCCCGGTGGGGCCTGCCTGGTCGAGGACACGGGCCCCATGTGCCCAGCCGAGGGGACGACGCCTCTGGCACCTGTGGCCACAGCGGCACTGACCCAGTGTGGCGGCCGCCCAGCCCGCCCCGGCAGGTCCCCAGCCCTCCCGGAGCAGAGCAGACGGTGGACGCACCGGCCTGCCCCCCTGCCTCGCACCAGCGACGTGCCCCAGAGCAGCCTGTGCTGAGTGGGTGGCGGGGGGGGGGCACGGCTCACCGAACCCCCGTGTGGAAAACGCCTCCAACTCAAACAGGCGCCCTCCACGCCCCGCCTGAAGCCCCCGAAGGTCGTGTGGCCCACAGTTCCCGCAGACTCCTGCCGGGGGGCGGCCGGAGGCCTTCCCAGCCTCTGCCGGACGGCTCCCCCAGTGCCACATGGCGGACACACGTCAGGGCCACTGTTTGTTTCAGGCTCACTAGGCCCAGAGCGCTGTACGGAGCACTTCGTGAAAACTGTGTCCGTTGGTCCTTACGGACCTGACCAGCCGAGTCTGCTCCTGGTTCACGGACACAGAGAGGAAGCCCCGGAGAGGCCAGGTACTCAGCCTCACCGCTGGGCGGTCCGGGAGGCCAGGCCTCACCCTGCCCCCCTCCACCCTGCACCCTCGCCCTGCCCCAGCCCTGCCTGGGCCGCACCCACCTGCTCGGAGAAGTAGCTGGTCAGGTTCACTTGGATTCCTGGGTGCGGGGCCTTCTGGTAGACCGTGAGGCTCTCCAGGGGGATCCCTGCCCAGGGCCACAGCCAGGAGACAGGGTTACTGCCCTGGGGACACTGGGCGTCTGCGCTGCAGGGTGTCAGCAGGGACCCCGACCCCACACCGCCCTGAACAAGCAACAAGCACGCCCGTCTGGCCCTCTGCAGCCGCTGAGCAGGAGTGGCTGGGGGCGGGGGCTGGGGCACGGTGGCAGGGCAGGGCCCTGAACCCAAGGGCTCCCTTCACGCCCACGGGCGCCTCTTGTTCCCGCAGCGCATTCAGAGGCAGAGGCTAGCGTGGGGAGCCGGGACGCGCCGTCGCTCCGATTCAGGACGGGAGGTGAGTGGCAGCAGGCCCGCAGCCGCCCTGGGTGCGGAACGGCCCTGGGTGCGGACCAGCGGGCTGAGCAGATCCATCGTGGTCCCAGGGACCGGGTGCTTTCGGAGAGCTGGGGTCAGGCACAGCTCCGTGGGGCGGGCGCTGTGGCCCCACCCCTTCACAGATAGGGAGAGGGCCGCGCAGAGAGAGCCCGGGACTCCCTGGGCTCCTACAGCTACAGGAAGGCGGAGGGAGGGTTCAGGTCTGCTCTCCTCTCACCCTGAAGGGCACAGTCCAGACGCCTGACGCCCCTCCCTGAGCTCCCAGACCCCAGTGACACTCGGCGTGCCCGTAGCTGGCGCCGGGCCGCCTGGCAGGAGCAGGTCTACTGGCAGGAGCCAGGCAGCGATGCCTCCACGCCGGGCCAGCTGGGGCCTGCAGGGCCAACTGCCCCCCGGACCACGGAGGCTCCCCCCGGCAGACCCCGGAGAAGCGAGGGGGGCAGTGCGTGCTGGTCACCTTTGTCCTTGAGCATTTTTGGCAGGATCTCTCCTTTGAGGGCCCCGCAGGGAAACAGCAGAGGCAGTGCCGAGGACTCCCCTGCGAATCAAGAACCAGACGTCGCATGGCTTTGCAGAAACACCGGGAGCTGCCTGCTCTGCTCCTGAGGCCTCAGCTCCGGCGAGTGCAGGAGGAAGGGGCAGCCGCCTCCTCGCTGACCGTGTCACGTGAAGGTCACAGAGGCAGTGTGGCTGCAGGTGCCTGGGAAACTGACAGCCACACGAGCCAGGGTCTGCTGTCACCTGTGCTCCCATAACTCTCCTCCCTGACGTGGCCCCTGGGCAGCAGTCCCTGTTTAGAATGAGGCTTCACACCTTAGCTGGGGTTAGAGGGGGAGAGTCAGGCCTGGCGCTGGCCCCAGGGCAGACGTGGTCCGAATGCGGCCCACCTCCGCAGGGGCCTTGGGCGGCGGGGAAGTGGCAGCCGGGTGTGGCTCTGCGGCACCCCCCAAGGAAGACAGCCGCATGTCCACCGCTGTCCTGGCCAGGACAGTGGCCACCAGCAAAGTGCCCAAGGGGCTTTCTAGCAAGCCTAACCAGAGGTGGGGGGGGGGCTTTGGAAAATTCCAGAATCCACCCCTCACAGCATCTCTTCTGCGGGTCCAGCAGAGTACTGCGTTACTTATTCTCGAGTGCGGGCCGCCGCTGGGGGGACAGGGCCGGCGTCTAGTTCCCGCTGCCCACCAGCGAGTGCCCAGCAGGGGGCCAGCTCCGCGGCCCCGCAGCTCAGCAGGCGTCAGAGACGAGCACGGCCCGCCCCGCCCCAGGAAGAAAACCCGACACGCCCCGCCTGAAGGTCCTTCCCTGCCAGGGGGACCCGCGGCACCACCGCTGCCCCCGGGAGCTGACCCGCTCAGGAAGTCCAGGCAGACACGGGCAGACCTCGGGGACACTGCGGGTCGGGTCCCAGACCACGGCCGTACGGTGAGTCGTGGTCTTCTGCTGGTGGAGGGTCCCGCCTCCACTGTGCAACCAGATCCCTGAAGCACAATGGAGCGAGGCGCAGCAACACGAGGCCTGCTCAAACCCACTCCTTTTTGGGGTACGCACACCTGCAGACTTTTAGCCCAAAGCGGCCAGTGCCTCATGTGTTCACATAAAGCCGGCCGCCTGCAGGGGCGAGACGGGGCCTCCCCAGGGAAGCAGGGCGAGGGAGGGGCCTGGCAGGGGTCTAACCGACACAGAGATGGTGGATGGGGGGGCTCGGAGCCCCCGCTCCGTTCCTTCAGCGGGAAGGAGGCCGGGACTGCAGGCCTGTGGAGGCCGAGGACAGAACAGGCGCTGAGAACCCAGCGTGCTGTGCGGCTGGGCGGGGGGCTCAGCAGAGGGTCACTGCCCGTAATTAAGGCCACAAGACTGGCTCTTTAAATGCCGCGTCGCCGGAGGAGATGCGTGTGTCTCTCAAACCCTGACCGCTTCAGGTCTGCAGTGGTCCGTCCGTCCGCCTCTCCTGGGCGCCGCAGCGAGGACCCAGGTCGGGCTGGCAGTGTGCTCGGAACTGTCGGTGATTAGGACACCGAGGCGGGCGGGGAGGACATTTCACACGGACTGCAGCTCCGTCTGTCTGCTCTCGTGTGTGTGTGTGTGTGTGTGTGTGTGTGTGTGAGAGAGAGAGAGAGAGAGAGAACTGTCTTCTGCCTTCTACTCTGTAACCTGTGTTTTCTCTCCCACCAGAGGAGACATCCCGGGAGAGAAGGAGCACCGTCTGCCACGACGACAAGCTATCAGATCCAACCAGTTAACAGCTTCAAGCACTTCCAGCAGTGCCTGCCACGTGGTGAGCAGGCGTCAGGTGAAAGAAATACAACAGCAATAACTGGGAGCTGGCCTGTTTACTCCAAGCACTAGAAGTAGATCCTTAGCTTCAGAGTTTACCGGGGGAGGAAATCCTAAACGCGCTGGTAGAACCAAGGTGAATGTCCTTGTTGGAAGGCAAGACGCATGCTTATTTGGGTGCTTGAATTGCAAGCTGAAGCTTTAGGGGCCCACAGACGCGAGCCTCGCGAGGACCGCCGGCCAGCGCCCTCCGCCCTCCGCCCTCTGCGGTGGGGGCAGAGCGCGCCCCTGGCTGCCCGCCCTCCCTCCCTCCCAGCGGCAGCTCTGGGGACCGAAACACGAGGGTCACACCTTGGGAGCGACACGGGCCTCCCTGCCTGGCGCCGCGGAGGGGGCTCCGCTCCAAGGCTCTGGGCCTGGCCGGGAGGCCCGACACAGCCACCTCCTTCCGGAACCGAGGCACGCCCCCTGCCCGGGAGTAGGCTGGGCCTCCTGTTCCAGGTGGAGCTCCCGGTCATGCCCTCACAGGACCAACAGCTAAGCTTGTTAATCCCACCGGGTGCCCAGGGCTACCGTCTACATGGATTTCCACTTTAAAAAGGGGCCTGCATGTGTCTAATGGCGACCACGGCCCCTTGAAAGGACGACAGAAACAAAGAGCCTGGAGGTGGGTCATCTCCCCCTCTGCGTCCGGGCCGTCCCCTCGGGAGCTGCCGGGGAAGAGCCCAATCTCGGGGCTCCCCCACCCCAGGGAAGACCCGAACAGTTTGCTTTCGTTCGAGCGGTCTCCACCCTTTGGTGCAGGGGGAGGCGCAGGAGGGGGTGGCGGGAGGTGGGCCGCACCGCACACGGGCACAGACACGGTCCCTCCCGGGTGGCTCACGCCGGGCACCTGGGCCCGGGCCATCGGGAGAAGGCACCAAGGACAGACGCCGTCCCGCGGCGGCGGCAGGCGTGGGCCCAGCCAACGGAAGCGAGCGGCTCCTTGGGGGCGGCCCTTCCCTACTCACGGGAGCAGATGAGCTCCGCCAGCTTCTCCGCGTTGCCACAGCGTTCCCCCTCCGTGTCCAGGCCCATTTTGTTCGCTGGAAGACAGTGGAAACAACGTTGCTTTGTGCGGCCGTTGAAGGCCCTCTGTTCCGGAGCTGCCCTTCCACGTGCAAAGGCAAACGTGAAGGCTCGCACCTCACACGTCGCAGAGAGATCTGACGGGAGGGCGCTGGGCCGGCCCCTGCGCTTCCCGGCCGGGTGGCAACGGGGGACCTCCCCCTCCTCTGAGCCCCGCTGAGCCGTTGGCAAGGGGGAGGGCACAGCCACACGGGACTGTTTGAGGGACTGTGCGAGACACGATGGTGGTGAGAGTGACCGCACGATCCCAGGCGGAGCCCCGGCCACCCTGCAGAGGGGGCTGAAGAAGGGGGGCCCCGGGGCGGGGTCAGGGCGGAATGTGGAGCGTCTCCATGAAGGGCGGCGCTCACACGAGACCGACACCGGCTCACACGGAGCTGCCACTCGGCCAGCCTCGCCCTCAGCCTGCAGCTCACAGACCGCGGCAGACGTGCGGTGTCCGGGAGAGAGGAGGCCCCTGCAGCTGGGCGTGAACTCTGTCCGGGACGGGGCTCCTGCTGAAGCCGCGCTGCCAGCCCTCCGGTCCCACCGACCGGGAAGGTCTCCGTGCACCGGCACCTGGACCGGGAGGGGCCGCCCGTGAGGGCTGGGGGCTCCTTCCCGAGCCCCCGGGGGACAGTAATCCCATCACCGGCCCCTCTGCTCCCCCTGGAGGTGGTGGTGCTGAGGGGCAGGATTCTGAACATTCCTCTCTACCCACAGGGCTGGTTCCCCTGGCAACCGGCCCCAACTTCAGGGCCTGGTCAAGTAAAAAGCCAGCTCATTAGGATAAACTCAGCCGGGGTGAAAGGGGTTTGTTAGGAACAACAGAAGGGTTTTCGGAGCGGAGAGCCAGGAACAGGGAAGAGACCGGACACATGTTTCTCAGCATCGCCACGCCACAGTGGCCATGCCACAGTCGCCTCTGGCGTTCCAGTCCCACCGCGGCCGCTCACCTCGAGAGGCGGTGGCACTCCCGACCACGTACACCGGCTTGGCGCTCCACCTCTCCCTCAGGGACTCTGTCCAGGCTGCAACACACGGAACCGCACGAGGGCTGCAGGGACCGCGGTGGCCGTGGGGCCGCCGCCCCGGCTGCCCGTCTGCCCCGCAGCTCGGGAGCAGAGCAAACCAGCAACGCGCAGATCCAAGGGAAATTCCGTTTTTAAACTTCATATTTTGCAAGCAAATTTAAAGAAATCACTTTGGTAAATGTTTCAGGATGCCTTGCTTGAAACAGTCCGTCATTTCCAGGGTTGGCACCTGAAGCATTTTTAATGTGCACCGGAGGATAAACAGAACTGGAAGAATCAGTCTGCAAGGGGTGGCTGTGTGGCTGGTATAAAAACCCCTCTGGGGGCAGAGACTGGTGCTGACCGGGTCTGAGGGTGGCGTGACTGCCGGTGGGCGAGCCCTGGGCTGCTGGGCGCACCACCCCTCCGGGGCCCAGGAGGCAGCGCCGTCTCCTGGGGTCTGCGCCCCGCGGCCCCTGAGCCTTCGCTGTCGCCAGAAGCCTGCGGGCTCCCGTGTCTCTCCCAGTGGGACCTCAAGACACTGCCCATACGATGCACGGTCTTTTCCTGCTCCCTCCAAAGGTTACACACACGAGGTAACTGGGTACCTAAATACTCTGAGCTAAAAATCACTGCACTTTTCCGACCCGAGGGGCAGCTCTGTCTGGAATCGCCCAGAAATGGGTGAAGACCGGGCGGGCCCCTCACCTTGGGTTCTGCCATCTCTCCGCAGGCACAGCTCCGCGGCCTCCACGGCTCTGGGGCTGGTGAGGACGAGTCCCCCGTAGCGTTCGGGCTGGGACAGCTGCGCAGCGGACACAACAACCACACTCCACGGAGGGCTCCGCGCTCCAGGCCCCGGGACGCCCGGCACTCACAGGATGCCGGGCAGACTGGGTCCTCCCGTGCGTCCGTCTGTCCACCCACCCACCCACTGGGCACGTGCCAGGGGCTGAGTGTGTGCCCGGGCCTCTCCCGGCCTCCGGGGTACGGGGGTTCCCTGTCTGAGGCACCTCCCTCAAGCAGCTCGGCGCTGGGAGTGGGGGGAGACAGAGGGACAGCAGGTGCCCGGGGGTGGTGGCGGGTGTAAGGGGTGCAGAGAGGGGCGAGGGGACTGAGCCGGGGCTGGGCGGGTGCGGGCGGGAGGGCAGACTGAGCTGCGCCTGGGGTAAAATGGAATGCTCGCCGCCGGGGGCGACGTCCACGCTGAAGCCCCGACCTTCAAGGACAAGGGCGACAAGCCTACGGACCAGGCACCTGCGCCCGGCACTGGGCTGCCGTGTCCCATCCCCCACTGCTCCGGGACAGGCCCGGTGACACGGGGACCCGTCCCCCCGTGGGCCACACGCAGAGGTGGGGAGGCCAGGCAGCGGGCCCTGTGGGGAGGGGCGGCGGGTGCCTGTCGCGCTCGCAGCGTCCCCAGGGCTGGATGCGCGGAGCTCGGAAAGCCACTCGTCCCCCCCGGGGCAGACGGGTGACGGAGAGGCCCCCTCGGGGGGGACGTGGGGTTTCTGACCGTGAGGCCCTAGAAACGGTCTCACGTGACGGGGCCCTGTGGTCCCTTTCTAGGCTGCTCACGGGAAAGCGAGCCACGCCAGGCCCCTTGCGCTGTCCCCCCGCAGGCAGGCCCCGGGCACAGGGGCGTGACGGAGGCCAGCCCAGCGTGCTGAGCTGCAGGAATAACCGGGCACTCAGCTCAGACCAAAGGGGGAGGACTGGAGGGCTTGCCACGGAGTGGCGGGCAGGGCTGTGCTGCGCGGGACACAAGGGTGAGCGACCGGGCCGCGGTGCCCAGTGCGCGGGGCTTCGGGCCTCTCCCCCAAGACACCCGGCAGGCTTTCCTGGGACTGTCCCGGGGGGCGCCCTGGCTGAGGCTGTGGGGGCACGCCCTGGTCTCGAATCTCAGCGCTGCCTCTTGTTTGCCGGAGGCCTCAGCCAAGGTGCCAAGTCTGGGGCCTCGGTCTCTTAACACAGGAAAACTGACACCTACGCAGCTGCCTCGCCCTCGCGGAGGTCAGGGCATGGGGAAGGGCGCAGGAGCACCGGGTGTGACCCCCCCGCACGCAGTGCCCTCCCCGCGCCCTGCTCCCCTGGGCCTCCTCCAAGGCAGGGTCGGGGGGGCTGGCAGAGAGGAGGCTGGGCACAGGGCCCAACAGCGCCCGCCCGCCCGCCCTGGAGCTGGCGGGGCTGTGCTGCCCTCTTGAGAAGCCGGGGAGCAAAAGGAGGGGAGAGGACAACGTCTCCCAGCTCGGGCTGGCCGGGGTCCCACAGACACCACGGGTGTCTCACTCCGAAACCACGGTGCCCAGACCCTGGCGGGCCTTACCTTCTCCGAGAGGCTGGGAAGAGCCAGAAACTCGAACGACAAAACAGGGATCAGAGTGGCTTCCAGTCCACAAAACCCTAATTCCTGCGAATACGAGAACGTGGTTCTGGGCTGGCCGGGGCGCTTCGGGAAATAAGGAATCGCATTAACAGCTTATTCCGGGCCAACTCCTCCGGCTCAGCAGACCCCGCCCCAACCTCACTGTGGGTCAGGCAGCACTGAGCTCTCCCGGGCCGGGAGCCTGGGCACTCACCCTGATGTACGGGTCCTGGCCCCCGTCGTCCTCCTTGGCATCTTTCAGGAGAAGGACCTTCATTACTGCCGGCAGTCCTTGCAGGGCGCTGCGGCAGAGCAGGGAAGCAGACCTCCGTTAGATCCCCGAGACTCCCCAGGCCACGGCGGGGCGGACAGGGACGTGGGAGGGAGGTAATCAGCTGTGGGCCGAGGAGGCCCAGCCCTGCCCGCGCTGACTCAGTGTCAAGGGGCCGGCTCCCTGGGGTGGCCCTGTCACCGATAAGGCTCCCTCGGGTGGCTCTGTCCTCGATAAGGCAGAGGGACGGCATGCTGGCACTTGATACCACCGGGAAAGGCGGATGAAAACCATCAGGGAGAGCCAGCGTCCTGGCCAGACATTTAAGGCTCACGAAAGCGCTGCCAATTCCGGGTTCTAGCAATAACACACGGAGAAATGGGTAGCTCGTATGGAAGGGAATGAATCGTTCCTTCCATTCGAAAACACACATGAGAAGTTGCCTGGAAGCTCCTTCGGAAATAATTCTATGGATTCTCCCACTTCGTAAGGGGCGTTTATAAATGTTGTCAAGTGTCTTGGGATCATCTTTCAAGTACTTTCTAACCACCCAGGAAATGGTCTGTCAGTGCGTATCAAAAGCTTTATATACTCATACCCTTTCTTCCTTCCCATCTAAGGATAAACACTAAGCAACACTCGCAAATGTGTGCAGAGATTAACATAAAGGTGCTCAGCCTGGTATTCTTGAGATATAAATGGCACGCGGCTCAAAACAAATTGCTTTGTATCTAAGCAACCAAACCTGGGCAAACAGATAAGTGTGAAATCAACTTCTAATTATTGCTGCTGTCGCGCTCTCAGCTGGAGAGACTGGGGTTTGGGGAATGTGGGTAGTGTCGCTTCTGTCATCTCTGGAAGCTGCTCAAAAGGTGTCTCACACGCAAAACAGAAATCTGCCTTTCCGCAGCGGCCACCCTTGCGTCATCCGGGCTGGGCTGGAGTCCCCACGAGTCGCTCTCAAATGCTAGTCCAAGCGTTGCTGGGAAGGTGTGTGTGTGTGGGGGAGGGGGGGGATGACGAGGCCCATCGTGAGCTGACTCTCAGTAAGACGCATCACCCCGGGTGACCCGGGTGGGCCGACTCGGGCAGGGGGAAGGCTTCCCAGAGGAGGAGGCCCTCCCGCGGACACGGCCTTGGGGGCCCGCCCTCCACCCCGGTGGGCTCGCACCGTGGGCCTCAGACTGACTCTCAGCGCACGAGTCAACTCCTCGCTGCCAGGCTCCTCGTGGGGACCCCTGCTGGCTCTGTTTGCCTGCCTGACACCCCTTCCCGTTTTGGGGGTCCCAGGACCCTGGCATGTCACCGAGTGGCATCTTCTGCTAAAGCGGAAGTCTTCCCAGGACACGCAAAGCGAGCAACTACTGTGGGATTGAAAAGTGGACGCTTCCTGCTGTCGGAAGCAGGCGTTCCCGTGGCCACGGGTCTCTGCTCAGCCCGCCCGCGGCCCCGCCAGGGCTCTAGGCCCAGAGATAGGGGTCCCCGGGCCTTCAAAGGTGCGTCAGCAATGCTCTCCAACACCCGCAGCAAATCTCTGCCTGACAAATGCTTTCTCTCTGGTTCTCCGCAGGGACATGGGGATCCCCCTCGGGGAGAGGGGGTGTGCAGTGCTTATCGGGAGCGGGGACAAGGCCAGGTGCCACGAAGTGCTGTGAGGCGATGGGGTCCAGGGGCCGGGGATGCTGATGCTGGCTACCTCCCCAGAGGACCTCTCTGAGGGGGCTGAGACCTGAATGTCAGTAGCAGCTGAGACCTGAAGGAGGTGACAGGAGTTGGGATCTGAGGGACAACAGCCATGGGGGAGATGTGTGCGCAGAAAGGGGCCCTGGTGTCCCTGGGAGGGGCAGGGAGGCCGGGCTCGAGTGGAGAGCTTGGGGTGGCCTTTGGCTTCCATCAGAAACAGGGACTCACCGAGAGGGGTAGGCGGGAGTGGCGTCGGCGGCAGGATGCACGCCTGAGAAAGGCCGCCGGCTCCTGCGGCCACCAGGACGGCCACCGCTGGGGGCGAGACAGAGGCGGTGGTGTTGGCAGGGCAGGGGTTCCGAGGTGGCTGGAGCAGGGACCCCCGTGACAGGCGGGGAACTGCTAGCACAATCCGGGCAAACCCCGCTGCCCACAGCCTGGGGCGTCAGGGCTCGGACCGGGGGGACAGTCAGAGCCTCTCTCCTGGGGCTCCCACGGAGCTGGGGTTCGTTCGGAGCCCTCCTGTCAGCGAGTCAGCAAGTCCTGATGGACGGTGACCGTGTCGTCGGGCAAAAAAACTTCCCGGGTAAGTGAAACTAGCGACATGAGCGAGCGGTGACGACGGGCCGGGGCGGCAGCCACCTGGGCCTGGCGCTGTGTGTCCTCGAAGGACAGGACCTCGGGCAGCGCACTCGCGCACCTCTGCTCCCCGAGTTCGCGCTCTGACCGTGAGCCCGACGCTGGGGACTAATCGGAGGGCGAGAGGTAAGGCTCCCCACCCCTTCCCTGATCAAAGCAATACATGTTCGTTGTGGAAAATCTGCGAACTGAAAAAAAAAACCAAAAAACCAATCTAGTTCCTCTGAAAACTAAGAATAGAATTGCCATAGGACCCAACAATTCCACTTCTAGGTGCAAGCTCAAAAAAGTTAAAGGCGGCGACTTGGCCGGACATTTGCACCCCGGTGTTTACGGCAGCGCTGTTCGCCATGGCCCAGAGGTGCAAGGGGTGCACGAGTCCACTGGGGGATGACTCCCACGTGGCCTGCCTGCACCCTGGAGTATTATCCCGCCTTACAAAGAAGTTCTGACCCACGCCACAACACAGGTGGACTCGGAAAACATGGTGCTACTGCAGCAAGCCCGCCGCAGAAGGACAAACATTCTATGCCACTTAATGCCGTGTGCCTGGCGTAGGCAGACTCAGAGACGGGAAGGGGAGTGCGGCTGCCGGGGGCTGGGGAGGGGTGCGGGGGTCCGGGTTTAAGAAACACCGAGTTCCAGTTTGGCGAGATGAAGGACTTTGGAGATGGGCGGGGCGAGGGTGGCACAGCCGCCAGAATGTACCTGGTGCCACTGAACTGTACCCTTGAAAATGATTAAAATGGTAAACTTGACATCATGTGTTTTGCCACAAATAAAACATAAGGGGAGAAGATTACCCATGATGCCTCAGTGTAACTACTTTTCCAAGCTAGCCTTTTCATAGGTCTCCCTCACAGCTTCCTCTCTTGTACTTTATTGGAGGACGTTTTTGCACAGTAGTGGGACCCAAAGGGGCGGCCACGTTAAGCTCCTCCATCAGACGTGGGGCCCTGATGTGTAAGTACACGAACGTCCCCGTTGTGGCCTGGTGGATGGACTCGGGGAGACAGAACGGGCGGAACACAATGGTGGGGGCTCTGGGGGCACTTAAGTTCCCCGGATTCCAACTCCTGCTGCCAAAGGGTTACTGAGCAGAGGCTGTTCCCACTGTTCTGCTGCAGCCTCCCCCGCAGCAGCTGCCGCCCTACTAGGGGCAGCCCACTACATGCATCCAGCCCACTCTCCTCCTTTTACCAGAGAAAAAAAGGAAGCTGAGGTCATTTCTAATTAATAACCTTCTTTCTAACTAACGGTCTTTACAGTGGGCTGCAAACTGGTAGCCTGCAGGATCAACCTGGCTGGCGGATAGATTTCACTTGGCACAGGATTTAAAAATCAAGGTATTTCTTGTAAAGACTCAGAACTCCAGGTTCTCTGGAACTGCACGAATCTGCCAGCGCTGGGCGGGCGCCTCCCCTTCACCGCGGCTGGCTGCAGCTGGCAGCTACATCCCAGCTCGGCCCCTGCACTCCGTTCTCTCAAAACGGGCTCTGGCCTGCAATTCAGACTTCTCCACTGGCCCTTGGGTATTGCAGGTCCATTCCCGATTTTAAAGAATCTTTCAGGAGGGCCGGCGAGGGGCAGGCACTCGGGTGTTGAATTACTGACAAGGCCGTGCCACCGCTGTGCTGGGGACACGCTTGCAAAGTCGGGCCTGAGCCTGGCGTGGGGGCCCCCCCGGCACGGATTCGGTGACCTTCCGTTTGGGGCCAACCACTGCCGCGGGACCACGGCCCACACCCAGGTCAGCAGCGGCCTCGAGTTCCGCTCGCTACTCGTCTCGCACTCGCCAGGGCCGCAGATGGGCCCCTGCCAGTCCGGAGGCCTCCGAGTCTTCCTCGGTACTGTGATCAGCGACACCTACCTACCTCGCTGGGCTGGTGAGGCTCGAAAGGTCGAGGAACTGGGGCGTGCCCAGCCCCGCGCCCAGCACTCGGAAGTCGCCCAGCGAGGGGCGGTATCTCACGACCCCAAACCAGAAGACGAAAGGATGCCCCGACGGTGAACCCGGAAGGAGGACCCCTCATCACGTGGCTTGAGCTGCCATGGCGACCGCGCCCGCGATGCCTCACGCACTAGCACCTGATCCCCGCGTCGCTCACAGCTGAAACTCGCGCATGCGCGCGGGCAAGCAGGCCCAGGGATCGTTCGCAGCGATGGGTCGAACCACTGCGCGAAGGGGAGGCAGAGACTTTGAGAGGAAGAGAAAAGATGGAGGGAGGGAGAAAATGCCAAGATAGGATCTCAGAACTGAGCTTGACTTGAGAAATCACGGCCGTAGAATCCAGCGGGGTAGTGGGGTTGTCGCCGACTCAGCGCCGAGGTTCTATGTTGTCTTTCCCCCCCTCGGCTTGTGTGGGTCGGCCCGGAAGGGCGGGCGAGCGGAAGTTGCGCAGGCGCAGCGAGGACGGCAACATGGCGTCCAGGTCCAAGCGGCGTGCAGTGGGCAATGGGGCTCCGCAGCCACCTGACGCCCCAGCCCCGCGCCACGAGGAAGAAGAGGACGATGAAATTGAGGACCAGGACGAAGACGAAGACGAAGACGATGAAGACAGTGACGAAGAGGAGGATGAAGACGACGAGGTAGTCGACGAGGTGAGCTGCACTGGCGACCCTAGTTCGGTTTCCATCTGGGGAAATATTTTCTGGTCGCTGAGGCCGTGCGCGCATGTGTGAGATGCTTGGAGTAGCGACTGCCCTGTACCCGGGGTCTGCAAGCAGACCCTGCAGGTGCTCAAAGGCCCTGACTCGGGTTCCAGTTTTGTCTCGTTCATTCCGCAGTCGCAGAAATTACTTTAGAAAGTTACAGCCTGGCCGTGTCGTTCGTCTCTCCCCCTCCCCCCGCCCCCCGCGGCCCAAGAAAAGCGGCACACTTTTTTCGGAGACTCTTCTTCAGTTGTCAGGCGGAAACCCCAATCCATAACCAGCCCCCAAGGGCCTGCAGATTTATCCTTTGCAGCGCAACCCACCCCCACCCCGCAGCCTGTCTCTCGGCGCAGCGGCCCCCGTTCTGCCCGCAGCCTTTCCAAAAACGCCCTCCATTCTGCAGGTGTTCCTCCCTTGCTCAGCTCCCAGCCGCGCGGTGTTGTCTGCCCGCTGCTCTCACCGAGCCCTGGTGGTCCGTTCTCAGACCCGGGCTCCTTCGGAGTAGCCCCTGCGTCGTGCCTGGCGTTACAGGCCCCGCAGGCTTGTTGAACGCTCAGTGGTCCTGACCGCCCCCCAGCGTCTAGC